CTAGAAATTATAAAAAAAATTTACCCAAAAATAAATTCAAATCGATTCCTTCCAATAAACCCTTCTTCCTCGTTTCAATTTCTCCTCTAAAACCGGACGAATGTCTCATATACTATAATCTGGGTGTACTCCTTTCTGTCATACTCCCTTATTGTCTACAAGACTCATTTTGTTTAATGATGTAAGGAAAAAACCAATATTACCCTTACATGATCCATTTTTTAATTAAAAATAATTTAAAAATTGAATAAAAATTCTACAAAACTACTTCTTGTTTCTTCCCTTCCATCGGATCCCAATCCAGTTTCGTCAAAGACAAACCTCCATTGTTGCTTGCAAAATAACAATTGAAGCATTCCGTCGATCTGCAAGAACCGCATATGCGATTCCTCCGTGATAGAGCTCGTCATTGACGTTGGGACTGAGCACGTTATTGAAGCTTCAAACTTGAAAATCGAGGTAAGTATTTTCTCATTCAGAATTCGCGAGGATTCGAGCTTGCCATCCGTTATGTTGATCCAATTAAATGTAGATTTCATCGCGGATTCGAGGATTTTAATCTAATTTGATTTGCAGATTGGGGGATTTCAATAAACTGGATTGAGAATTTGGTATGCACATTAGGTGTGAATTGATTCTGGAATTTTATGGTTGAATCGTAGGTAGATTAGGATTATGCATAGGTTAAGCTTAGTCACCGTATCCGAATCAGGATCTCCAGATTATGCAGATACATAGGATAACTAGTACAACTAGTGTTATTGAGATACATGGTATAATATGGATCTCCAGATTATGCCGATACATATATATAATTGGTTTCAAACTTTCAATAATTAAATCATTTTGTATTTCCTTCGGTTACTGTGTAAAAGAAAATGACTCAAATGTTATCAAAACTGTCGGATCTTCCCTCGATTTGAGCTTAAAGACGAATTCCCTTTTTCAGATCTTCTTTGCTTTCTATATCATGAGGAGGAAGAAGAAGATTGAGAAAAAGCTCGATAACTGAGAAACAGAGCTTCGGAAGATAAATTCAGATTGAAGGAGTTTTACCATGCGACTGAGGGGTTAAAAAGAAATATATTCTGAGGTTATTCTGACGATGAAGTTTAAAGCCGCCGTGAAGAGAGACTCTCACGATTTCAAACAAAGTATGAAAGAATTTGTGACGAAGATCGTGAGTTTTGGAAGAACGAGTCACCGAA